CCCTGACACCCACCCCTGACACCCACTCCTGACACCCAGCCCTGACACCCACCCCTGACACCCACTCCTGACCCCCACCCCTGACCACCACCCGCTGACCTCCACCCCACACCCGTGACTCGTGACACACCACTCACGGTGGTGACCCCCGCCCGGCAGCAAACACCCGTTTTTCTCTCAGAAATCAACGCTGCTGCCATCTCCTGAATCACCACTCTGTAGGCAATCCTCGTCGTCGTCGTCGTCGTCGTCGCTTGCCCCCGCCCCCGCAGCACTGTCACTGCTGCTATCACTAGCGGAGCCTCCATCCTCCTCGTCCTCGTCGCTACCATCCTCGAACGCCTCGACGCTGTAGTCGGTGGCGCCCCCGCTCGTGTCGCGAGAAATTCGTCCGTCCTCGTCGCCCCGCCGCTCCCCCTCCCCCCCGTCGCTCTGCCGGCTCGATGCAGTGGTCACGCGTTTCGCCGGTTGGTTCCTTGCGGAGGCACGAGGCGGCGGTTTCGGCGGGGTGGCGTGCCGTTCCAACGGCAACGCGCGCGGTTCGTTCGTTCCGGGCGAGGTTCGGCCGTTCGTCGTTGTTCCCTCCGCCGTCGTTGTTCTGTTTACGACCGTTCCTTCCGTCGATGTTCTATTTTCCGCGGTTCCTTCCCTCGCCGTTCCGTTTGCCGTCGATCTCTCCCTCGTTGTTCCGTTTGCGGAGGTTCCTTCGATCGCTGTTCCGTTCGCGACGCCGTTCATCTCCTCTACGGAGAACGTTTGGTTGTTCGTGCTGCGGGAGGTTCCTCCTCCTCCTCCGTCGTCGTTGCTGTCTTCCTCAGCGAGCAATCGGTCTATGACACTCATGTCGATGATAGAGGAAGAAGGGTCGTCCGCGCGTCGCCACGTCAGACTAGCCGTGCTGTCGGTGCCTTACGTGGAAGAAACGAAATTCATTGTGAGACAGAGAGAAAGGGGGTAAAGGGAGAGGGAGAGAGAGGGCTAGAGAGAGAGAAAGAGAGAAGGGGAGAGAAAGGAAGGGAGAGAAAGGGAGAGGGGAAGAGGAAGGAAGGGAGAGAAAGGGAATAAAAGAAAGGTAGGGCAGGAAGGAAGGAGGGAGGGAGAGAGGAGGGAAGGGAGGGAGGAAGGGAGGGCAGGAATGTGTGGGAAGAGGGCGAGAAAAGGGCAATGAGAACGGGAGAGAGGAAGAAGAAAAGGAAATGGGGTGGAAGGATAAGAAGAGGGGCTGGGATCGACAGGAAGAGAGTGAGAGGGCAGGAGGAATGAAGCAGAACGAGAAAGAGAGGACAAAGGAGAGGGAGAGAAAGAGGGTAAGGAAGCGGGAAATAAAAAAGGAGGAGGAAAAATGTTACTAAGAAAGCGAGCAAGAATGAGTAGAAAAATTAAAAGTCATTGCGAAATAGATGACAGCATTACAATTGCTGAAACGTACATTTCAAAATGCTGTGTGTACATTATAATTACATATACGCAGATACCTTTTTTCCATAATGGAGTGCCACGAGGAGAGGTGCTGCCTAGACCAACACCCTCATCATCTGAGTTCTCGCTCTCAGGTATTCCTAGGTCGTCCTGCAGCTGTGTGATCAACTCACGAAGACGACTCTGCATCAGAAATACATCAACTAAGAAGCACGCATGAGCACATACAGCCGAAACCACATGCAGGAGAAAATGTGAGTTAACATTCTTGAAATGACTTTTGAGGATAAACCTTGACTCTATACACCTGCCCTTTCCGAGACTTTAGGTATGTTCGAGCGTGCCTACCAAAATCTAGTTGGTAATGATAACTACATGCATGACCTGATGACGTATTATATATAATTACCAGTTTTAAGCGGCCCTTTTGCTTGTGAACGTGATGTTGGAACACTTGCTTGAGAATCTTGTTCGTGAAGATTCCTCTCGCGAGGATATCGGTCGTTACGTCTGTCACAAACCCCAGATAGCTTAGCTCCTCCTCACTGCAACGTAACAACACGGTAAATATATATATATATATATATATATATATATGTATATATGTAAAGAATTTCGGTCTGCCGCAGCGTCACATCCCCGCGTTCTACCCCCTGCAGTCTGCCCAGCATCCTCAGGTGATGTAGGCCGCATCCATCACAACCATCCCCGGATGCGGAGGCAGTGAACACGTGCTCGACACGGGCTTCTATTGTGCCATACTCGTGACACTGAAGCTGACGTGCGTGTCACGTGTGATGCTGACGTGCTTGGCTGCCTCTTCTTGACGTATGATTGACGTGGAAGCCGTACAAACGCTCCGGGGCGTATATACTGCGCTCTCCAGAGCACCGTCAGTAAAGGTAAATTCGGGGCAAAAGTCCGTTCAACAAGGTTTGTTTACCGTTTTCCTAACGGGATATAATATAATAACTGTGTAGTATATAAAATTTCGAGGTATTTTTGCATGTAGAAACACAAATCAAGGTTCATACCCCACACATGTGTACGCGTTGTCACATTTCTTACCGGAAAAAATAGTATACTGGCAAATGATATCGTAACAAACTCGAAAATCCATTGGTGCAGTGGCATTTGAGGCGAAAATGCACGAAATGTCCGTTTTTGCCATGTTTTCATATCAATATTATTATGAAGGGGATCGATTTCTATAATATTTGAACGTGTACGAGTGAGATAACACTCATGCAGAGTATATGTGTCAGTTTTGTTAGCTTTCCTGCAAAGGAAATGTGGTAAATCAATAAGTGAATACGCGGTAAAAACGCGAAAATCCCAGCGCAGGGAGGTAGGTGCATTGTTAACACTGGCAGCGTTGAACGTGTTAACTCTGCCTGGTAAGGAGAGCTTTTCTGCTAAAGAAATCGAATAATTGAGTTTTGTGTTAATGAAAATCAGTTATGCAAGTCCTAGAGCATGGTTTTTTGACACATGCATGTTCAAATGACATTTAAACATGTATTTTATGTAAACATGTACATATCCGTGTACATTATGTACATGTTATTTACACATCTACATTAAAATACACTCATTTTACACTCATTTGGTACCAGAAAATAGGTAATTATCCTAGTTTCACTCTTCTCTGGCACTCCTAACACTAACAGTATCAAAATATCTTAACTTTGTTGGTTGCAATTCACCCTAACCCTCGTTCTAACACTGCGCTTAACCGCATGAAGCGAACATTAATTTGCATTGATTTCTGTGTTTTGGGGGCTCATTTCAGAGAGTGATATCTCAGCCCCTGGAGTCATACCACATTTGAAATTCGGTCTCCATATAAGGAAATGGCTCTAAATTATTCATCTAAAATTTCAAGTTGATCCGCATCTTCGCTGCTCATTAAGGAGGTGTACAACAGTAAGCGTCCGCAAATTGTTCACCGTTGCACTATATCGTCTCTAAAAAATGCCATTTTTCACCCTTTTTTTTCACAGAAATTCAGCACTAGAGTGCAATAATTTGCATTATGCACGCAAGTTAGAGGCCCCGTGGACGTCTAGAAAGCATTAGAAGTAAAATTGGTCTTGTTGTGTATTAGTGACATTCCGTCAGGTGGCGTAGCCACAGCGAGCGGTCATTTTTGTCTTTGAAATGTGATCCGACTACTTTGTAGAAATTCGCGTCATAGAGCTGGCAAAAGTTTCAAGGGGGGCATATAGCATGAATCTGTAGTTATTTAACATGAATAAAGTGTATGTTGTGTAAACGCAGTAACAGTGTGAGTATTTTTAATTAATTTCTGTTCGATGCTTATTCAGGCCTGCCGCCTATGAACGCCCTCTACTGTTGTTCAACACCTACATCTGTGTGTGTGTGTGCGTGCGTGCGTGCGTGTATTTGTATGTATGTGTACAGCATTTTCCTATTGCTTACTACTAATAGCACACTGTAATTACAATGCAATCAGATACAACTTACGCTTCTTGTATTTTCTGTCCAGCAGGAGACTTGGTCGCTGATATGTACCTGCAAAGAACATACAAAACATTGTTATATACATGTATGTATAGAAGTGAGGGCCACGGTGGACTATGAGAAACTGCAACGTGCTCCCATCACAAGATATGAAAACACATGATAAACACTACACTATGACTGCAGATATTTTGGTAAAGTAGTTAAAACATCTGACTATAATATGAGAATGATTGTGTCATGAGTACCTACTGTGCATTTTAATGCATTTTAGCAGATTACTGTGAATTTTGCAGTAAAAAAGTAATGAACCAACTGTCTGCTACTCATAAGCAAGCTGCTTGCAACATTTGTTCATTCTCTGGGTTGACAATGCCCAAGAAGAACATGATATTTGCATACCTCACATGTCAGAAATACTTTACAGTGTGGAAAGAGCAATAAAGGTAGAATATAGGTATAAGGATATATAGGTATGAGGTATATATAGGTATGAGGTATATATAGGTATGAGGTATATATAGGTATGAGGTATATAGGTATAAGGATATATAGGTATGAGGTATATATAGCTATAAGCTCAGCTGCCATTTCTCAAACGGCTTCTCAACAGCATAAAACATTCGCATCCCGATTAATGTCGTCCATCAAACACCATCACTGAATAATATATGTATGTACATGTATATATATATATATACATATATCGCAAAGCAACGCATGCTGGCCCCATGAAAATTTATATATATATATACTATATATATATATATCGCAAAAGCACAAGCATTGCTGGCCCCATGGAAATTTATATATATATTATATTATATTCAGGTTTCTTCTGAGGGAAAATTAGAGCAAAGGGGTAATGACAGTTTGGAAAAAAAAACGCGCATGATGGATTCGAAGGCATGCCGTAAGGCATGTGAAGCACTCCAGGCGGACGTGGGGGGGGGAGACGGTGGGAGGGGTTCTGGGGATCTCCCCAGCAGTTTTGTAAATTTGAATTCTCAGGACTGCATTTGAGCACATCGCTGAAACGCATTATTTCACAACGCGATGTAAATTTGTGACAACACGGTGCGCAGCAGCTGTGGCACTTACGAATATGAAAGCCTGAATAAGTTATAATTAATATATATATATATATATATATTAGGGTGGCGTCTGGAACATGATCTCGTCCGGAACGCTTTCAGAAACAGTCGGCGCGGAACCGGAACTTTTTCCTAAATTTCATTACTGCTAGCAAGCGTGCATCCAAAATCAATAAGATTCAGTCACTTGAGTGTAGTTGAGAGTTAATAGAGTCAACTTGCTGAGAATATATCGGTTTAACAACTTCACACTTTTTCCTGCCCAAAAATCTTGGCCAATTGAACATTGGCTTAACTAACTGAACTGACCTAACTGATGTTAGGACTGATTTATAACATTTTCTTATCCAAAATCAAATACTCTAGAGCCTACAGATCGCATCTGTCCGTTTAGTTGAAAAAATAATAGAATAAAACCAGGGAACTGCAGACATGCAGGCTTTTGCACAGAAGTTCGCGTTCGTGAATTAGATGACAGAATTATGCAAATTATGCACTGGTAAGCAGCGCTGATTTCATGACACCCTGAACAGTAACAACATCATGTAATTAGAACTTTGAGCATTGTCCTACTCGCCTAAGTGATGTGGCCTCGCTACATGATATTCTTGTTCAAGGCCGAGTGACGTTTGCGCACAAATACTGGGCACAAACTGTCACGTTTTATTCTCAGCTAAAGTTCCGTTCCGGGCCAGGTAGTTCTGGCCGTTCCGGTTACGGCCGAACTTAAAAGTTGGATCGGTGCAACCCCTGAATATATATATATATATAAATATATATATATACAGGTGTTAGACGCTTTAAAGAATAAAAACCCTCTCGCCAAACTGGGCGAGTTGAGTATTAAGTTTTACTCGCCCAAACGGATCTGTCTCGTCCAAATTTTAAAACAAAAATTTGGTTGTCAAACATTAGTGAAAAAATAGACTACGGGGTGGGTTTGGGGAAGGGGTCCGCATGATTAGACGGGGCCCGGGAATTTTGTGAAAATTACACCTCTTGGATGCAATTTCCTGCACTCTGAAGGCAGATTATTAAACAGATCTTCATCACAAAAAATATCACTTTTGAGTTGAGTATTTTCATTCTTTGGGACACGCCACAGACTTAAATACTTGCTGTAAAAAAGAGAAGCATAAACCTTCAAATTTGCTGAGGTTGAACTTCGCTCAGTCTCTTACCCAAGTTGTGCATGTACCAATGCTAAGGCAGATATATGCACAGCCCATGCTGTGCTGACTGTCGCAACCTTTGATAAGTATAAAGTAAGGGTGCCGTGGCCGATAGCCGCCCTCACAATCGCTAGAACTGTTTTTGCATCAATGTTTAAGATATACAAGTGCCGCATAGCGAGCAGCGGCTCATCTAACGTCTTAGCTGGCGGTAACTCTGTGGTGAGTTTGTGGGGATTCTAGTCAACCCTGTTAGTCCCAAATGTGTTCACACTCCT